AGAAAGAGCAAAGGAAGGAGTTGCTTTTGTGATGGGAGACGAATTATATAAGAGAATCGAGTCATGGGAAGCAGTCTCACCAAGAATAATCACAATAGACATAGATTTATCAGTTAGCAAAGTCACAGTGATACAAGCGTACGCTCCAGTTGAGGATGCAGCAGTCTTTAACAAGGACCAGTTCTATGAAGACTTGCAAAGGACATTAGATAATGCAAGAACCAAAAACAGAATGATACTGATCTGCAGAGATTTGAATGCTAGAACAGGAAATGATAAAGAAAATTCGCATAGAGCAATAGGATCCTGGGGAGGTGAAAACGTATAGAATAGTAATGGCCAATGACTCATAGAATTCTGTATAGAAAATAATTTACCTATAGGAAACTCGTGATTTAATCGTAAAACAATACATAAGATCACTTTTGAGAATAGAGGAGCTCAGGGTATGAGAAGTATCATTGACTATTTCATCATGGAACGATACATCAGGAGGTACATCACAGATATTCAAGTCATAAGGGGTGCAGAACTTAGTACAGATCACAAGCTACTAGTCGCTGATACTAAAGCTATAAAGTCAAGGAAGAGAACTAGCAAAGTATTTAATAGAATTGATGTTAAAATGTTAAAAATTGAAAACAAATAAGAAGAGTACAGAACAATGCTAGAGAGCCGCCTTCAGTTAATAAATGGAGATAGTGAATTGGATACTCTTTGGAAAGAAATTAAGAATTGCATCATCGATACAGCTAGTGAAGTACGCTGTATTAAGAAAATGAGGCCGTCTACCAAGAATGGTGGAATGATGAGGTGAAAAGAGCAGTAAAGCTCAAGAAGGATGCTTGGAAAACATGCTGCAGAACGAAACTACCTATCCACTGGGAAGAATATGTTAAGTACAGAAATGAGGCCAAAAGAATAATTAAATCAGCTAAGATGATGACCTGGGAGCAGTTCGGTCAGGAGCTAGAACAGAATTATAGAGAGAATATAAGGAGATTCTGGCATATTGCAAAAGCTCTGAAAGCCAAAAAGTCAAAACCGGTCAGAAATATAAAAGATACAAATGACAAGTTGGTGACTAAAGAAAAAGAGGTATTAGAAGTATGGAGACAGTTCTTCCAGGAAAAATTTAGTATGGAAGAACACCGACGCCATAATCACAGAGACTGCAGAAGAAGAGTGATGGTGGAAGAGGTTTACCCGGAAGACTTGGATGACGCAATAGGGGAGAATGAGGTGGAAACGGCAGTAGCCAGAATCAAATTGGGAAAAGCACCAGGACCAGATGAAATAGCTCCAGAATTAATTAAATATGAAGGCAACAAAATGATCAAGATCCTTCAATCTCTTTTCCAAAAGATTTGGGACCTCAAGCTGATACCACGAGAATGGGAGAACAATATCATAATCCCTATACACAAGAAAGGCAGCCAAAGCGAATGCGGGAACTATAGGCCAATATGCCTCTCGTCAGTTGTTTACAAGATATACACAAGAATTCTTGAACAGCGACTAAGGCATATAGTAGAGCAAGATCTAGAGGAAGAGCAAGCCGCTTTCAGACCTGGCAGACAGACCCAAGACCACATATTCTCACTACGGATGATTGTGGAAAAAGCATGGGACCATGGAAAATCGCTTTATCTAGCATTTCTGGATCTTAGGGCCGCATTCGACTCAGTTCTGAGACAAGAGATATGGGACTCACTAATTAGAAGAAGAGTACCTGCAAGCTTGGTGAGTGCCATTAAATCAATATACCAAGACCCAAAGGGTGTAATAAGGCTCAATGGACACACACAAGAACCTTTCCACTTTTATAAAGGAGTAAAGGAAGGAGATAGTATCTGCTTTTTATCCTTCTTATCGATGAAATTTGGAAAGTGTGTAAAAGAAGAACCCCAAGGCTGTTGTGGGATATTGGAATTTGACACCAGTGTTGGCCCAAGCTATGTTATATGCCGACGATATAATTCTTATAGCGGACTCACAAGATGCTCTACAGACATCATTGGTTGAGTGGGAAGAAGCATTGAAGCTGTGAGGGCTACATATAAACCCGTCTAAGAGCAAGGTTATGTGCATTGGAAAAGACAATGCGGCGCCTATGATGTTAAGTAATGGCGAACCCCTAGAAGTAACAAATGCATACACATATCTGGGGACAATCATCAATGAAGATGGTAAAATATACCAGGAGGTACTAAGTCAGGCGATGAAGGCCAGTGGGATATATTACCAGATAGCCAATACAATCATAGGAAAAGGGGAAGTAAGCAGAAAGGCCAAACTCACGATATATATGACTGTGTTCCTCCCAGTACTTCTTTATGGATCTGAAAGCTGGACAACCCTCGATAAGCACATAGGCAGGATCACAGCAGCGGAAATGAGATTCCTCCGAAGAATAGCTGGCAAAACTAAGAGGGACTGTTTTAGAAATGACAGAATCCGTGAGGAATTGGAGGTGACATCAATCCGTGACATCCTGGAAGAGAAGCAGTTGAAATGGTTCGGGCACATCTGCAGAATGGACGACACCCGAAAGGCCAAGTGGTTTATGATAGCTAGACCGGAAGGCAGACGACCTCGTGGCAGGCCGAGACACACTTACCATGATTATATTGGAAAACTGGGCACAGCAAGAGGACGCACCATACCGGAGATGAGAAGACTAACCAGGGACAGAGACCAGTGGGCAAGATGGACTGGGACTGCAGCTCCACACTTAACGGCACAAAGGAGCTAGAGAAAGAAGAAGTTTGTTGTGAAACTGTTTGTAAGGGGTGAGATCTGTGACTTCTAAGCTATTTTCATAATTTAATACAACCCCCCTATTCCCTAAAAGTGGTTTTATTTTTTAGTAATAATTTTCTGAATTTTATACTTAATATGTGAAATATACAGTAAGGGAAAGTATTGTGATCGTGAAAATTTTGGAATCTGAGTTTTCAATGGAAATATATCTTTTGAAGTCTCCTAAGTCCAAATAAGCAAGTCCCGCAAAATGGTGTGTGTGTGTGTGCGTATTTCTATTAAGTTCAACCAGCGCGTAGTGGTCTCTATTTCCTCCTTAAATATCAAAGTTGTGTGAACTTCACGTATATGTTATATTTCAGTTTAATTATTTTTGTTCTGAATAAGGAAAAAATTGGTCTCGTTAACTCTGAACAAACAAAATGTTTAATTTTTCCTATGGGTTTTTTGTTCCATCCATTTTACGAGTGAAAACATGCCTATCAAGTAAACATCCCTTCTGCTAGTGCTAAAAGTCTTATGTAAAATTTTTCAACTTTTATTCTATTTGTAATAAAGGTGGCATTTTGTATTCTGCAACTGATATAAGCAATCTGCTGCGAAGGAAAATAGCAGAGGGCAATCAAATATGAAATTTATTAGTTTTATTTTTTATTAATAATTTTCTGAATTTTATACTTAATATCTGAAATATACAGTAAGGGAAAGTATTGTGATCGTGAAAATTTTCAAGTCTGAGTTTTCAACAGAAATACACGTTTTGAGGTCCACTGAGTTCAAATTACCAAGTCCTGCAAAATGGTCTGTGTATGTGTATATTATCAGTCTAGCTGAAAAACAAAAAGGCGTACGAAACTGAAAATACATATTTAAGTCAGGTATATACCTGGGATGTTTCAGCAACTTTTCCATTAAGATCGGCTAACCGGAAGTGTCACTTTATATCTTTGATATTAAACATTTCTAAGATTTTCTCAAAAAATGGCTTTAAGGATTTTGAATTAACTCAGCATATCAATGATTAATTAAGTAATCATCAATATCATTTAGGTCTTATCCCTATTGATGTCGCTTAACAGGGCTTAAATGCTTGATGTTCAAAATGTCTTCCTCTGAAGTATCTTTTATTTGGTTAATTTTAAATAATTAACTATCTCTCCATGTTAGGAATTATAAAAACAGACTAAATATAACTTATGAAAGTATTTGATTAATGAATGATAGAGAAAAGTGGAAAAATATTTACTTAAGTCGAATATGAAACTCCGTAGATAAATGGTCAGAAGGTATACTTATATCATTGGAAAGACGAGAATTTTAGAAAAATTCTCTAATAATCTAATAAATAAAGTTGTAAAAGTTAATGGAGAGTGATGAAAAATATACAAATAATAATTTCTGAAAATTAGAGAAAAATATTTACTTAAGTCGAATATGAAACTCCGTAGATAAATGGTCAGAAGGTATACTTATATCATTGGAAAGACGAGAATTTTAGAAAAATTCTCTAATAATCTAATAAATAAAGTTGTAAAAGTTAATGGAGAGTGATGAAAAATATACAAATAATAATTTCTGAAAATTAGAGAAAAATGGAAAAATATTTACTTAAGTCGAATATGAAACTCCGTAAATAAATGGTCAGAAGGTATACTTATATCATTGGAAAGAGGAGAATTTTAGAAAAATTCTCTAATAATCTAATAAATAAAGGTGTAAAAGTTAATGGAGAGTGATGAAAAATATACAAATAATAATTTCTGAAAATTAACATTATTTAACGTAAATCACATATTTCTAAGTGAATGAAATTATCCTGAGTTGTGTGCTGCGCAGACCAGATTTTTAAAACAGTAAACAACTCCTGGCAAATATTATCTATATCTTTTTCGATGTTAAAATTTGGTTTTGCCTCACGATTCATATCAAAGAGCTCAGCCATGGCTTTTTGTCTATTATAACTGTTAAAAAATGATGCATAGAAGATATAGAAAAAAGTCTTTTAAAACTGAATTCTACATAAATACAATTAAATAAATAGGATCTGAAAGGAGATTAAAAATGAAAATATTTAATGTCAGATTTATTGTCTTTTTATATTCATAATTTATGTAACATTTTCTTGTAACAAATATATTATAACACAATTACAAATAAATTATTTCACAATAACAAATAAATTATTTTACAGTAACAAATAAATTATATCACAACAACAAATAAATTATATCACGATAAAATTAGAAAATATATCAAAATAGTCTTTCAATATTACTAACATAGAGTCATATCTTGTGAAACAGTAAAATGTAAAAATGTTTCTTTAAGAATAACATGACATGATCTATTTACATTAGTATTCAGTTTGAAAGCGTTAATACATTTATTTATACATTTAAAGTAAAAATATTCAGTTAACGAGTAGATAATTTCGGCCATGAGTTATTAAGAAATAAAATCATTCAGATAAATTTGATGAAAGTTTATATATTTATATTCAATTTCACACAAGCATTTATTTGTTATTTCACTATCACCATAGCAAAACATATACATGCTTGAATAAATTTGTTTGTGTCAATATTAATTTAAAAATAAAATCAATTAATATACAAATATATAATAAGTTAAAATATTTTATTTACATTTTATTTAATATGAAAATTTTTAATAATATGTATAAATGTACAATAATTAGAAAAAGTACTTAAATATTAGAAAAAAATAACTTCTTCAGTATTATAAGTAGGAATTTGATTCGCTTCAGAAGACCTTATTCTGAATTTATCAGGGAGTTTGGGGTAAGTATTGGTACGAGCTGCTTTAACTCCAGCTTTAGACTCTCCCTGAATGTTCTGCATCGTTGCTGGACTCGAACCAGTTCTTGAATGAGATGGAAGTTGAGGAGTTGTACTTAAAGCACTAGTTTTTTTAGCATCTCCTCCTGTCCCTTCTCTTAATTTGAGTGGAAGCATTTGTTGAGATCCAGTAGCAGAAGCAACAGTACTGTTACCACTGTTTCCTAACTTAGTTGAGAGTTTTAAAGGTAACTGCTGTTTGATTTGTACATTTGATGACACTTTTTGTTGGTTTGTAGTACTAATTAGATTAAGAGGCAATGTTGCAGATTTGTTTACAGTACTTGACTTCCACTTCATGGAATCAGATTTCCTTTTACGATCACTGGGAGGAGTATGTATAAGTGTATTAGTCCAAGAAATATCGTCTGGTGATGTAGTAGCTCCAGCTAATGTAGGACTCATCACAATACCTTGGCTACTAAGTGTTTCTAATTTTCTGTAAAGTTTTTCTCTTTGTTGAATGATGTCTGCCTGTTCAAGGCGAATTTGCTCCTGCAATTGCAATAATTCTTCTCTCCGTTGTTCCAGCTCATTAAGTTCACTGTCTCTTTCTCTTTGCCATATTTCTTTTTCGCTTTGCAATTTATCTTGCAGATTTCGAAGCTCCTCTAGTTGTTGATTGTGTCTGTACGTTGTTTTTCCTGAATCTCCTAAATGAGACTTTAAAGTTGTTAGATCAGCTTCCAGGCTATCAATAGTTGTCATTTGTTGAGAAATTATGCATGAAAGAGTGTATACATGATGAGAAAGTTCTGTAGCAGCTAGCTGGTGGTCTTGACCAGTCATAAGAAGTAGAGGAGACTCAAAATCATCTTCTGCATCTTGATTCTCTAAACCACCCAAAGTTTCAGCACGTACAGATGAAGTAGGTGAAATACAAGATTCGATTTGTCGTTCACCAACTGAACTGGCACTTTGAGATAAATTTGTAGCTGAGGTATATAAGGACTTTGCCAATTGATTTAGATTCTTGACTGCTGTTAGAACATCTTTTCTTATTTTTATGTTATCCAATTGTTCGGACACTAAAGACATGTAATTAGGCCTCTCAGGGACGTTTTCTAGACCAGCAGTTGCCAAGAGTTTCAATTGTAGGGCCATTTTTTCCTCTAAGATTTGTGCTTGTTCGTGATCTTTTTGTCTAAGAATTTCTACAATTTCTTTTATATGTTTTTGTTTAGTATCAAACTGTTTCTGTTTTTCTTCAGCACTTAAAACAAGTCCTCTGCTTTCTTTATCATCTTCAGGACAATTTTGCACTGCTGCTCTTATTGCTTTAATCCATACTTGTTTGTCTTTTGGATTATGAACTTTGAGTTCAAACATTTCTGGTTCATTTGGATTTGATGAAATCAGATAGATTCCTCTTGATTCTTGACCGGCCTTCTCTCTCACAAGTAGTTTTTGAAGAGACACAACACCATCCTTATTTTCTGGAGTGAAGAATGAGTACTTATGGTTGTTTTCAAGCAAGAAACATAAAACATCAGAAAATACTATTACCAATACTACTTGCATTTTCCCACGACCTTGCATTAACATGGCAATGCCTTCGAACCTCAACTTTCTGTTTGCTCCTAATATATCAGCTTTTTTAAATTTATGACCTCTGTGGATAGCGTAGGATTTAGCTTCAAGTTTATTATATATTTCGAGCTTCCTATCTTCTTTCTCCTTTTCAGCAACTTGAGCATCAACTTCAACTAATATTTCCTTGACTAAAGTTAATGACCTCTCAAGCCTTCCCTGTTCTTCTTCATTGTCCTTAGTCATTTTAATCAATGCATCAATTAAGAGTGGGTATTTGGTTAAACGTTGAGTAACAAATAATATACATTCTGGAATGCCTTTTTTCTTAAGTAAAGGATTAGCCTGGCAGTTTTTGATGAATTCAGCAAATCTTGTATCATGCTGTATATAATCTTTATAAATACTTATGGCATTATGATGATTTGAACAAAATTCGCCATAAACTGCCTTTAAACGTTCAGCACAAGCACCACTGAACTGAGATTCAAGAATATCACCCAAATATTGTATAACTGGAGCCTCTCTCTGACGTGTTCTTAATTTGTGAAGAAACCCCAAATGAATTTCACTCAAATCAACTAATCGAGGGAACATTCTTTGCACGTTAGCTCCAAATTTCAAATATTTCTGTAAACCTTCAACAAAAACCTTCTGCATGACTCTTAACGTAAGGCAATGGTTTTTTTCTGTCATAATAAATTCGTAGTAGTGTTCCTGTCTCTTAATCTCCTTTTTGTTCAATTCCTTCATTACCTCCTTGGTAACGGTAGAGGTCCAGGAATCTGGTTCTTCGTCTTGTAGTCCTAAAAATGGGTCAGTATCTAGATCATTAACTGTCACAGATTTTTGAAGAGGTAAACTAATGCGAGCATTAATTAGTCTAGTTTCAGCTTCACTTTTAGATTCAACTTTCTTGAAAACATTATGAAATTCTGCTTCATTAAGAGAATGAGTGGATGAATTGATATGAGTATGTGTTTGCCGAACTCTTGAAGTAACTTCATGTGTTCCTAAAAGATTAGTTGTACTTTCACAGAATGGATCATCCATATCAGATTCCACACTGTTTAAGCTGACACCACATAATTCATTACCACTTCTGTGACAACTGGCCTTAGTAGAATCCTTATAGTGTGTAAGATCTTCTAATGCAGACCAACTTCTTCTTCGTGAAACTTCAATATCACCTTGCAAACCCATATTTCTTCTATACAGTTTCCACTCACCTGAACCTCTTTTATGAGGTAATGAGTGGGTGGTGGCAGGTGTTGTCAATGTCAAAATTTGGGGAGGAGTTGAATTTAAGCTGGAAACTAAGTCAGGGTCAGATCCAGCATCATTGAGAGATGGGCATGAAGCACTTAACCTGCTTGCTTCTTGACTTCTTACAGGTTGGACTATTAGTTCTCTCATCTGCTGTACACTTTCATGGATGTAATGCAGCTGCTGCAGATTGTCTTCAAGTATGGGATAATCCTTTTCTGCAAGTGAAAGAGGTGTTACACTTATTGTAGGAACAAGGGGTGATGGACCAGAAGCGCTATGTCTCTCACTCATTTCTTCACCCCCTATATAGTCAGTAATTAAATCTTCACTTCCGCTACTCTCTCCACACCACTCATCAGAAATATATTGGGGTAAATTTATATATTCGTCAGAATTCATGTCTATTTAAGTTCATGAAAAAATAAAAAAAAGTTAAAAGTACAGCAGTTATACAGATTAAATTTATTAGTATAACATTGTTAAATACTATCATTAATGTCATAGACTACAAGAAAACAAATCCATTTTGTTCTTTTTAACTATAGTATCATAGAGAAAGAAAAGAAAATTGTGTGGTAAGTTGTCATGGCTAGCTATATACCTGTAAAAATTCAAAACAATGCAAGTTTGGCCCCATGTTGTAAGGTTATGTTTATTATGCATGAAGTAAACAAAGCATATTTAACAAATGCTATTTATTAAGAACAAAAAAACTTTAAAAACTCTAAAAAGGTAATTCAGGTTAGGTTTGACAACTTAACACTCATTCAAAATTAAATAACTGTAAGCTACACTAATTTACTATAAATTATACATATAAAAATTATAATTGTTTATAAAACCATTGATTGTTCCGGTCTAAACTTTGTGTCTATATCCTTCTGTCAATATAAATGGCATAGTTGGCACTCACCCAAATGTTTACGCCTGTCAATGAAATAAACTATTCTTATTCAAGAATGTTCCAACGTTTTCGGTACCACTGAAGTAATTTCAGCTAGCTCTTTCTTCCAAGACAAAGTAATCGCCACTAGTGGCCTCTAACAACACTCGGACCGGCCATTATTCCTTGAAGATCTCGACTATCTGGCTGGTGGTTACCTTCTGCTTGCTCAAGCACATGGCCAGTGTTACCGCGCACTCTGTGGCCTATCCTTGTACCTCAAGTCTGGTGCATCCTCTTTATGCTTACACTTGCTCATTGAAAATTCGTACTATTGCAGGCTCAATGATATGTTTTTTTCTTAAACAAATTAGATCAGAGCTTTTCTTATTTGTTCAACACATATATTTTAAAATCTATTTAAATTTTTTTTTCTTAATGTGCCAAGAAGTAAAATCTGGTGCGCGCAACACAACTTTCACTTACCGCTCAACTTTGAATAGAAATTATTTTCTGGCCATGTTGGGCTATTATAAAATTTTCGAATTGCATTTTTAACTGAGCTATAGCTAAAAAATTGCAGCTAACAAATCATTAATACTATTTAAATAACAAAAGTCCTATTTATTATATCACCGGTTGATTATGGATTGCACGACCCGTTGATTCTGGATTCTACGACTATTGGTTATTAAACTGTTATTTTTAATTTCAAAGTTTAGTAAAACGGAATTAAAAGATTCGCACTGTCTGTCATAGACAGGTCAAAAGTTGTCACACTAATTGTGAGCACTAGCGGATCCAGGATTTAATTTTGGGGGGGCTTCAGCCCGAAAGATTTTTTTCATATATATAACGATAATTAATTTGAAAAAAAATAAGAAAGAAATTAACTACCTATATGAAATGGTGTTTAAGTGATTCTTGAAGGCCTATTAAATGTAATTACACGAACAATAATACTTTTAAGAGATAGTTTTTAATATTTTTTTCTATAATATATGGTTATATTTTACCATTTTGGGAGGAGAGGGGACTTCAGCCCGAAAGCCCCCCCTCTCCCCGTAAATTCGCCTGTGATTGTGAGTAGATACTGTTGGAATATCACAAAAGGAAATTTCATTGATCTATTCACTAATTTAATTTTCTAAAAGTTTACTTGATGATTTTTTGTAATAAACGGACGATAGATACCTAAATATATTTTGATCTGGAGTTATTAAACTACTGTAAATATATTTAAGGTTATAAACGTATCTATGAAATATTCTTTTATTTCACTTCTTCTTTCACACAAGTACAATGAAATAGTAGTGGATACTGTTGGAATATCACAACGGGAAGATTCATCAAATTATTCACTAATTTAATTTTCTAAAAAGTTACATGACAATATTTGGGAAAAACGGACGTTGATACCTAATTATCTAAATATAATATCGGATCTAGAATTATTAAACTACAGTAAATGTATTTAAGGTTATGGAACATATGTTTTATACATCCATGAAATGATTTGATATTTAACTTCTTCTTTAACGCAAGTACAATTAAATAGTTTTTTAAACAATGCCGTTGCCTTTATTAGGTAGATTTTAAATAATTTTTTTTAACTAAAAAATATTTTAAAAGTTTACATTTAGTAAGTAAATTTCCTTGAAAACATGTGCTTTACGTTAAATAATGTTAGTTTTAAAAGATTATTATTCATAATTTTTTCGTCGCTCTCCGTTGCTTTCTACAACTTAGATTTATTTTTTTCTAAAATTCTTAGCTTTCCAACGATATATTATATGTTATTGTCATTTCCAATCATTTCCTCTTGCTCATTCGCGAAGCGACTGAATCTGCATTCAATCCAATTTCAGGGTGTAACAACCCAGCACTTCAAAAGAAAAATCATCTGGATCGGCCAAAAAACTATTTCTGATCTCATTTTTCAAAATAAAGACTAAAAGCATATTAGTTTGAATGTTATGTATATATATAATTTTGTTCGAAGTTTTACTATCCGCCGGGATTTTCTTCCGCTCGTTCATCACAGCTAACGATGTACAGGAATCGCGAGATTATTGGCTTAGCTGGATATTTAAGTTCATTACTTTGCAAATTTTGCTCCCCCTTTGGAATGGCTTCCAGGATACTTGTCATACTTGACCCCACATACGCCATTGGTAACGCCCGAATCACATAGTGTGGAATGAATGTCACCAATCTGTCGGTAGGTACTCCAATACACATGTAGGGTCTGTTATGCGGGACACATTAATGTATACTTTGTTATTTGCACATATTTATGTTTATTGTTTAAAAATAAAAGTAAGTTGTGCTGTTAGCTGCATTTCTGAGAAAACTATTAGGTTCATGTTCGGTGAACATCAGATAAAACAATAAGAAAAATTTCTCCGTCCACCAAAAATTCACTCTAAACTCGGTTTACAAGTTAACATTCAACAACCCTTCTTATTACTCTTGAATCATATTCTAATTATTGAATGTAAGAGATGTTTTTTTAAAAAGTAAATCATTTTTAGAGCATCGAATTCCGCGCCCACTGAGTGTAATTCGATTCTTTAATTTTTTAAAGAGTACGTGTTTCGCTTCGTTGTAAAATTCTTCAGGAGTTGACATAAGGTAATAGTCTATTAACCAATTTGTGATGGAACTAGAGGAGGAGGGGGGAGGCTCCCGGGAACATCTCGCCCCAGGCGCCTAGAACCCAAGTGACGGCCCTGATTATCACGTCTTTATACTGTGTATAACACTAAATCATCGCTGGGAACATTTAGAACATCTAAATTAATATTGAATATAATATCCTAAAGTTCTCAAAAATTATTAGCCTGTTGGAGGAATATCTTTATAATTTGCAACAAATCCACTATTGCTTTAGATCAAGGCTACTTTTTTCACTATTGCAGTGAACCTAGAGAATGAATAGAAACAGTCAATCCTTACTTCTTAAAAAAAATTTTTTTTTGTATATTTTTTTTTATTCACACCTGTCATAATGGTAATTATGAACCAGTTTGGGTTTTGATATAATTGCTCACAAAAAGATAAAGAAACGAAATGAGAAATAAAACTATCTAGAAAAACATATGCTAAGTTGAGTCTAGTATAGCATCCTCACCATTTTTGTTGGTTACATAATATCCCATATGTTAAGTTGTATGATTTGTTATTTTTGAAGTGTTGTCTTGTAAAGGAAAATTTCAAGTCTGAACGGAAGAAGTTGAGGGAATGTGTTATGTAAGCATTAGGTGTTAAGCCTAGTGTTGCCCAAATGTGAGACCGAGACGAGTCTTGGTCTTGCAAACTCAGTTTTGGTCATGGTCTTGGTCTTGCGCCAGAGTCTTGCAACAGTCTTGCAGTTACTTATTAGCTTATTACTATAGAGATATTATTGTAATTTTTTAGATAGAAGAAACTTAACTAAGCCCGAATAAAAAATTAGAGGAGTTAAATGCAAAATTATATTGGTTATACCGATTCTTTGAATATAGTAACTAAGGTTGTCAAGTATTAGTAACTATTTTGCCCTATTTTTATTTAAAAAATCGATTTTTTTTACTAGTCCTGCTCTTGGACTTCCACAGTTAGGCCGGCTTGGTCTTGGTCTTGCAAAGTACAAACCGATTTCGGGCAATACTGATTAAGCCCGTTAAAAGGATTCGGCTCTAGAAAGATATAATAGATATTGTTTCAAAATTTGTAACCTCATTTAACTATAGTAGATGATTTCTTGGAAAGGTTGGGCATATGAAGGATATATGGACGTACATCAAACACTTTTGGACTGATAGAAAATTTTGTTTACGGGTAGGAAAATGGAACTCCGCAAGGTTCACTTCTCAGTGCGATACTCTTCGTCATAGCAATCAATGGAATCACATCCGCTATTCAGATACTCATTAAATGTTTACTTTTCGCTGATGATATAGTAATCTCAGCTCATAGCGAATCTTTAGCGTTCATCCAGTGGAAGTTGTTAATACTGACCCTTGATTAAATAAAATATGTTTAATCATTTTGCAAAAGACTATGTAACGGTTTTCTAAACGAACGGCTGGATCAATGTTGGAGGGAGTTTGATGGCTCAAATTACCCAGTGAAATTCCCTGAATGTTTAGAAATAATAATGTTTAGAAATAAGCTAAAATGTGCTTAATCAATTTGCAAAAATCTATGGTGACGAGTGAACGGATGGATCGATTTTGAAATTATCCGATGATATTCCTTGAGTGTTTTGAAAGTAAAGTGACACGTGGTTATGTGTTCGGGCTGTCAGCTACAAGGGATGTAACAATTTTTTGAGCGAACGGCTGGATAAATTTTTAAGTGTTATAGCGTAAAATATTCATTGGAACAATTTGCGTTTAAAATTCTGACAAATTGCTGTGTTAAATATGACTAATTAATCCCCTAAAACGGATGTAACGATTTTTTGAGCGAATGGCTAGGCCGATTTTTAACTTTGACGGCTGTAATTACTCAGTGAGCTCCCGTGAATGTTTTGAAACAATTAGAGCACAAACTACATTTTATATTTTTAAATACAATTTAAAATAAATGTTTTAATTAATTTATTGGTTCATCCAAAACATGTTCACATCAAACTAAAAACACATGTTCTTCAAAGAATGTATAGGTAGATTGACCTATTTTGTTGACGTTGAAGGAAAAACGCTCAAAAGACACGCTGAGCAACTACGTGAAAGACGTACGAACGCAAGACGATAGCATTTCTTTTCTTTTTTCTATATGTCCGCAGCGCCACATATATATTTTTAAATACAATTCAAAATAAATATTTAATTAATTTATTAATTAATCCAAAACTTAAATAATAAAAACACATGTTATTTTTAAAATAAAATGATTTAGGCAATTAAATTTCAACAGAAAACATGAACTTATTTACACTCCGCTAAAACAAACAAAATATACGATTTAGGATGTACTACAGTACTAGAAAAAAAAATACAGTATAAGTATCTTGATTATTAATTTATTTGAAATGATATCACGTGATCATACCTTATATTATAAAAATAAGTTGTTACAACTTTACAAACTAAAATTCTTAAAATAACTTAATTATTTTGATTAAAAAAAAAAAAAAAACGCTTACACAAATAACTCTATCCATCCTAAGGGACGAGAAATGAACAATATGTCTGTGATAATGTTAGTGGGT